GTCGCGATCATTCACCCATACAGGCCAGCCAACCTGCCCYACTTACAGGCTGACTATGCATAAAAACGAAAAACATCCAAAAGAAAAACAAATTTCTCCGCTTAAGTTTAAGATCAAGAAAACTCAGAGCAAGGAAGAAAGTGACATCAAGGAAAAACTGCGAAGTAAAATTTTCCAACGAATCCAGAGATCGGCCATAGCAGGTACAGGTAATGGAAAAACTGCTCACTCGGTCAGCTTAAACCACCCGCTACCACAAGAAAACCGGTCTGGGAATCACAAACAACAACAAAAGCCCCTGAATTATACACCGAAAAAGGTCAGTGGGAATTTTTACTGTCGTACTCTAACCGTGAACACCCCATTTTTTATTTTTTATTTTGTGTGTGTGTGTGTAAATATATTTTTCTTTTTTTCTTCCTCTTTCATCATTTCATCTCCTTTAATAGCTTTTATAACCTTTCAAAACATGTAACTCGAATTCTAGTGATTCAATAATCTGGTTGGTTGACAAACTCGAGAGTTCATGGTTAGAGTAGAACGACAGTAACTTGGTCGTTTGATAAAAACGAAATTGYGACCACTTTTGGAGAAAAAATAGAAAAAAATCCCTTTTCGTTCAAGATTCAAAATTTGATGTTAAATTTTATGGGTTAAATTCTCAAAACCTCAATTTTACTATTTTTAAAAAAAATTACAATAAAAGGAAACAAAAAATTAGAAAACTAGATAAAAAGAATGGTATACCATGTATATACGTACAGTGCGATTTGTTAAATAGTTGTCTCCTTATTACTGTTAAATATATTTTGTTGTATAAAGGTAAAAACGTTAGGGCAAAGGTTTGCGGCCCGAGGTCTTGAATTTCAGTGCAAACCCGAGCATAAAAAGGTTTGGTCGAATTTTAAGTTTGGTTTGGTTATCGTAGTATGGATTATCGTATGAAAATAAATGGAACTGCTAGCCATTTAGTATTTTGGAATTCTCTTAGGCACTCGTATATGAAAATACTAAATAGCCGGCAGTTTCTTTTTTTTTTTTTTTTTGAGGGATTTTCCTCTGCTAGCTAGATTTCAATTTGACGGATTTGGGTAGACAGGAATAGGTTACTCAAAAATAAAAAAGTTTCACTATTTTATATTCTATAATTTTAAAAATATGAAGAAAAAAAACCGGAAAAAAGGAGCAAAAGCGTGAGTAGGTTTAATTTTTAGGTCACCCACCCAAGTGCTAACTCTCCTCAGACGAGCTTGACTCAGTACCTTGAACGACAACGATTTATCCACGGGACCACAGTTCCAGGTGAATCAGCATAACAATAGCCGTGAAAACAATGCATCAGATCAGATAGACTAGACTTTTTAACATTACATTTTCAACCGATTCCGTGCGTGGCAGAGATGCAAGGGATTAGCCGATATGGTCTGGGGGCCGGCTGGTCTCTCCCCTGATGCTTMGGCTAGAACATTTTCTTGCGTAATACGTGTACCCAAGGGCAGAAGGATTTAATCGCCGTCAGGTCCGAAGTCCATACGCCGCCTCAGCTCTGCGGATGTCTCGGGRGTATGGCAAAGTTGAATCGCTTTTTTTGAATTTATTTTGGTGGGTTCGAATCACAGCTTATCCATATGAGATTTTTCTTTTTCTTTTCTTTTTTTTCTTTTTTTTTAATTCATTTTTTAAAAAAACCAATTCCTGCATTTTCTAACAAGGAAAATAAACAGCCACCCCAGTCACCCCAGTAAATAATATAACTCCAATAAAGCTAGGATGATGAAAAGATAATAAAATTGTTTAATWGTTCTGACTGACAACATATACACGAGTTAAACGAAATGATTCTTTTCTGTGAAACATTCAATTATCTTTTGGCTAACATTCAAATTTCTTCAGCTGTACTATAGGCCACTTGTGTGATACAGGCAACCCAGTGAATGCCTATAGGGCGTCTTGTTTACTTTATTTGGACACAATAAAGTTGTTGTTGTTGTTGTTATTTTTTTCTACAGGGAAAACTTCCATCTTACCATGAAGCGCGAAGATCAAAAGAATTTGTGGCTTCCTGCATTATTCATGAAAACCAATCTAAAAATACTGAATCATGTGTCGAGGCGAAACGACAAAGCAAGGAAACCAAGCAATCACCGCATCACAAAAAATATCAAAGAAAGGTTAGAGACAAATAAGTGACACTTACCGAGATCCTTTATCGGCTAAAAACGCGCGCTGTGTAATGTTGAAACGTTTAGCAATAGACCTCTTTACCTTGGTGGGCGTAATGTTTTCCATTTGAGACCATGCGTCATTCCCTAAAATATCATTTCTTTCTTTAACGGTTGCGCATGAGAAGACCGAATGAATATAGATACAACTTAAACAAATAATCTTATTACGTTTTCTAACTTTTAGGAGTGTCAAGGTAACAAGGCTAACGCTACAGCCGTTTCTCTATCCCATGCTCTGAAACACTTATTGAGGAACCATCGTACTAAGCCTCCAATAACTAAGGTAAGACAAGGTTCTTCAATGTAATGTCCAATCTCGAGCCCAGAGTCCTCCGCCTTTTAGGGCAGCGGACTTTCCTGGAGTTGATGACAAAGCAGGAAGGCGCTGAAGGCCTCTGGGCACGAGATTATGTAATCTCTGCAAATTTTGGAAGGACGGAGACTGGGACGCAATATGAAAGGTAGGTACTTTAATTATGTATGGTAATTATTACTTTCTCGTTTTCCTTTTCTTTTTCCTTTCTCTTCTCTTCTCCTTTCCTAAAGATTCTTCCTTCCTTCCTTCCTTCCACTTTCTTTAAAAAGCTCTATTTTAATTATCATGGCCACGCAAGAAACGTTTTTTAGAAAGGCATGAGTTTTTACATATGAATTGTTATCTGTAACTATCGGTCATCTAACTTCTATATCTGCTTTACAATAATAATTAGCGTTTATAGATAGACACCATTATCTAACAGAAGGTGTCATTGCTTTCTGCCCTCAGACAATACAAGTATTTCCAAATAGTCTACTAAGTATTTCCACTGTCTACTATCTGTTGATAGAAACATTATCTCAGAGTTAAGATCATGGGTGCTTACCATTTACCCGGAAAACCCGGTTTGAAAACAAACGGTTAACGTTTGTGTTATCCGATCCAGATCGTAAAATTCCTAAAAACTCGATCTTCGTTCCGATTAAGGTAATCCACTTAATTTCTTGCTTTTTCGACTAACTACTGTTGGCGACCAATTCGAATAACTACTGTTCTGGACTTAATAGCCTCGTTTCACGTGGAAGCGTTTTCACATGTAGGAGAGGCTAGCCAACCCATAACAATACTTGTTAAAATTGGTCGTCCGTTCGTCCGTTCGTCCGTTCGTCCGTTTGTCCGCTTTAAGTTTAAAAGCTGTCGGTTTTTTTTTTTTTCATGATTGCGAAAAAAATTTGAAGGTACGTCGAACTAAAATGGTAATTGTCTTACGCTTAGAGCCAGAATCACACTGAAGTCAGTTTTTATAAATCCTGCATTTCGTATTGTTTAATAAACTGATACCGACTTTGATAGTTGACAACATTACCACATAAAAAGTAAAATACAGAAAACTGATCGAGTCTGGTCTAATGTTGAATACACACAGTCTGAAAATGCAAAATATGCCATGGCTATGAAGATGGCAAAGCCGTTCAATATGTCAGACGTTATGGTTGCTGTGAAGTAATGACATTGAAGATAACTGACGAGCACTTAATAACAGTGACACAACAAAAGCTTCACTTATCTTCWGTGATGTGCCATCTTCGTACTTTATTATCTTTTCATTGTGTGTTAGACTTATCTTTCTCTCTTTTTAAAGCTCGCAGATAGCTCTCACACGGTCTCACATGCACAACACTGAGTTCAAATAAAATAAAAATACTTCCTTAATATTTTCATTTTTCAGGCCACGTAGCATTCCCTTGACAATAATTCGTTCATTTTCCAGTAAAGTTTGGGAATATATAACTTTGACATAACTCAAACGAACTCATTCTCAAGAGGTTGGAAAACCTTACGTTCAAAGTAACTAAAGAGTATTCCTTTGTAAATAGAAAGTCGTATCAACGTTACCATGGCCATGGCCAAAAATCCTTATCACTGGTGCTAACCGTATCTTTTCATGGTAACATCTTAATGATTCTTTTAATTATCTGTTTTTAYGAAGTGACAAAGTCATAATGCATTATGCATCGTGTTAGTTAGATACTCTTCAGAAACAATGGTCACTAAAATAGTCGTGAATGACAAACATGAGAAAACATGTATTTAACTTCTAGCATTCGTACTCGTATTTATTACCACCATCTTGCATTAAGAAAGATACGAGTGTCGTTTTTATTAAGTGACAGAGCCATAATGCATTATACACCATGTAAGATACTCATAGAAACAAARTAAGAGTGGTTTATAATGGTCACTAAAAGAGTCAAATGAAAACATGAAACATGTATTTAGCTTCGGCATTCGTACTTGTATTTATTACCACCATTTTGCATTTAGTAACCGATACGATGTCCATAGACAGATAGACTTAAGAATTTGAGTGTTTTCTACTTGTTTTCAAGAGATTTTTGATTGCTGTAATGTTTAATCTGTTTTGTTGCAGTTCATTTTTAGTTTTGTTTGATTGTAGTGTTATTTCATCATTGAATATTATTGTTTATGTTTACGTTACTATCGCTGCAGTTATTTTGTCATTTTTATGTTTTGTTGTATTATTTTCATAATATTTAACAATTATTCGCCGAAGACGAAGTGAATATCGGGGTATAATAACCGAAACGAAGTTGAGGTTATTATTCCCGATATTCACTGAGCCTGAGGTGAATAATTGTTTTAGTATAAATACACAGGTGATTCTTTCAAAAAAAGGAAAAAAAAGAAGATGAAAGACTTTTTTTTTTCCAGTAACAGTAACAAAGCGGCTGCCCGCCATTTTGGATTATCGCTGGAGGTGATTATCGTGTGATAATCTGAGTTACTCGACCAATCAGCRAGCGAGATTTTCAATAATCACCTGTGTATTTATACTATAAATATTTATTAGTGTCGTTTTTGCTATTTTGCTTTTGTTGTTGCTCCATTGTGTTGCAGTTAATGCTTTTGTTATATTGTTGCTGTTTGTTGTTGCTGATGCATTATCGATGATGCCGCTCTTGCAGCGGCTGTTCCTTCTTGTATTGTTTGAAGTTCGTGTGCGGGTTGCTGTYATTGCCGTTGTTGCAATAGCTGTTTATGATGTTATTGTTACGTTAATCRCACAACCCTGTGAGTTATCAAGACTTGCTTGTTTGTATGAGGTAGACTAACCAAAAGTGACACTCGCTTAGTTTGAATTCCGTAACCAGCCCTGCGAGTGGCCACGACTTGAAGTAACTTTCTCGCTGAACGGACTTCTGACTTTCGAACGTACTGCTTTAATGTCAGCTTCTGCTCAATGTCCCTCTGATGTCTTTTCGTTTTTCCTAAAACATTTCCTTTACATTATCATCTTCGTTGTTGTTGCTCGGTTCGTTGTTGTTGCTCGGTTCGTTGTTGTTGCTCGGTTCGTTGTTGTTGCTCGGTTCGTTGTTGTTGCTCGGTTCGTTGTTGTCGTTATCGTATCACACATCATCTTTGTTGCCGCAGTGACGGCTCAGTTATTTTGACATCGTCATTTTTTCATTGTTATTATTKTTGACAACCAATTTTACTTCCAATTATTGATATGGTTTTCGCAAAACATCCCAGTTTCAAAAATATAATACTTAATGATGTTGAGATAAAAAGTTTCTTATTTAAAAGAACAAAACTTATTAATAACCGGAGCTGCACTAGAATGACTACGATAAATCTGATACCAATTGTACTAATATATGATACACGGATATATACACTTATAGACTGGCTTAATAGTGTTTGGAGAATTTTGTTTTGTCGTACGGAGAATTTGCTTGTGAAAGATTCCTGCTTTAATCGTGTACAATATGTAACCACATTACCCATTTTGACCACTTTTACCTCCTCATATGATTTTTCTAGCTTTTATCATCAAATTTATTAAGATTGGGATCCTGAGATTGTAAAAACCGCAGTATTTATCAGGATAGATTCGAATACCTTAGCTTAGCTTCGGTGCCGTTCCAGGCATCTAAAAAATATTTTCATATTCAGAATTTTATTTATTTTTTATTGTCAAAATATAATAGCAATTGGGTTTCTTAAGTTTRAAATGCAATTGTAATTTTTCCTTCGCATTTTGGATATTTTCGGGTGAGGTTTATTTTGACTAAGAAATTTCCGAGAAAAAAAAAACTCTCGAAAACTATTCAACGCCGTCATCTTCATTTCATTCAGTCTTCTTGATRGTGAAACGTCTCACTGCTCAGTGCCTGTTTTATAAGCAGTTTATTTAAACCACGTTCTTTCAAAGCTCAACCAGATTAACGTGATTTAAGTCGAGMGATCTCCCCTGGAAGCTAGCACTTCGAGGCCCAGTCTTTCCTATATCTTCTCTGCCAGCACTGGAATATCATGAATATTTTCCCCAACCACATGATAGCTTCATGAAGAAAAGACAAACTCGATAATTTCTAAAGCAATYGAATCACTTTGTTCTACTGAACTGAACGTTATTCATCTCGAAGCTCGACAGTCTTGACACAACACAAGGGAGTACATAACTGTACCGAAGTCCCGACAATTAACATGCATATCTTGTCTYGAACTGAGGCGTCAAGAGAAACTCTCCTATTGTTATGCATATTTCAAGGCTGTTGTGTGGTTTAAACGACAAAACATCCCCACTGGTGCGCTGGCAGTAAAACTAAAGAATATTATAAACACTAATCATCAAATGAAGTAAGCTTTCTTGTTTTACAAAATGCTGTGAATTCGGAGATATCGGATTTGGGAATTTTCTTGGAGGTGGCAATCCTGCTTTATTTTCCGATTCAAGTCGAAAAAATTCTCTTGGATTTGACAGCCATCGCCAAGAACTCCCCCGCTACACCACAAGCCAAGGTAAATCATCCAATATATGCTTAAATTTTTTCTATTTAGCTCAATATACATCATGTTTTCTTGCCCTAAATCATATTTAGAAGGCCACTTTTCTGACGAATCTTTTTCATCGGCGCTTTAACTCAGAATTTAAAATTTAGTTTTTAATAATAATTCCTCTGCGCCGCCCAAACGATGAGTGGAAAAACCTAGAACTAGAGCGGATACAATCATAGAAGGGTATATTATATTCACGGAGTCTATAAGAACCGTCGTTTGGAATTGCTGTGCGAACTAAATCAAATAAAAAATGGTTAACTTTTTGAGCTTTGTCGCTGTCACGGTCGTATCGCGTCTCTTAGAAACCGCGAACAGCTCTCTAAAATACGTCGAACGCTATTGGTATTATTTTTTATGAAAAGATAAGTTTTAACTTATTATGTATTAGTTTTTTTGATGTGATATTCAAAAAGTTGGAACGAAATAGAGACGGAGTATTCTTTCATGTATTCGTTGTTGAAAAATCTGAACGTTTTTTCCCCTACTTTCCTAAATATGAATAAAAACAATGCGAGCATTATTTCACAGTGAAATTGCTAATATGAGTTTGTCGGCTTTATGGAAATCATTTTTGGTCTCGRCTGGCAATTATTGATGCTTGGATGTTTTTGTGAGGTATATATTTTGAAAATGATGGCGAATGAGGCTCATCTGTCCTTGAGGCAGGTCTCGCATTCTCAAAACAGTGGGATTTTTTTCTAGTTTTCCGATTCATTTGCTTTTTCATATYAACCAAGATTTTCTTAAAGCTTTTTTAAATGATAATATTTGTTGGAGATTTGGGCAATAATTATTTTTGGGCTGTTATGAATTCAAACTATTACTCTTCAAGAAACAGCTGCCAATATTACCATGAAGCCTGAGACAAATCGTCATAGAAATTCCTCATAGCTTATGTCCGGTATTCCTCGACTTTGTAATATAGTTCTGTCGATTTAGTCTTGATATTTAAAGTGTAAGTTCGTTTTCTTGGTTTGGTCTTTTGTTAATGGACTAAAGTGTCGCCAAAACATGCATCCTTACAAACTTACGTACAACTTAATATGCGACGTCGATTAGTGGATGAACGCCAGGTGATCAAGAACCAAACTCTCTCTTCAACGTTTCTTCCATTCGGCTACTTACATTCACGGCTATGAATGAATGAATGAATTAAATATGACTGCCAACGATCTAAGACACTTTCATTCCTCCCTACTTCTATTATTTTATTAAGTTCTATGCATTCTCTTCGGGTTTCTTTTAAAGTAAACATTACAATGGATTCATCTTTACTTTGTTTTAGTGTCTGCATACTGTGTAGTGACGGTTCTCGTGTCAATACATTATGGAGTGATTTAATGAAGCTGCCTAAAAAATCTTAAACGAATGACCAAAATTCTAAAAAAATCATAGCAAAAACAAAAATATAAAAAACAACATTCAATAAACAAACTTGGGGGAAAAAACTTGAACATATATAACCAGACTCCGAACTGTCAGTGCGATTCAATTGATTTGAGCTTTTGTCATGCTCAATACATATTTTATGAAACGTTTCTGCATCAAAAAGCCTGCATTGGACTCTTCAGCGAAGTTTACAAGACGAATCCAGTACTGGAATTTAATTAGAGGTTCTGTTTGTAGCTTTTCCTTCTTAAATTTTGTACAATATTCTCAGAACATCTTGGATGTAGACTTCGAAAAAGCAGGGAACTGCATGTGCAACACAGCTTCGGACAAATATACTAGCTTCTCTGAAGACTTATGTTTTTTCGTTATTTTACGTTTGCCAAGCCAGACTCAATAACAAGCGCTGCTCTCGTTAAAGAATATTCTCGTTGACTTTGGCCACCATTTTTATCAATAATTTACAGCCTCCACCGCAATCAACAGCTTTATTAGGTTCAGTTAAAACTGACCAGTAGGGATGGGTCAAAAAAGGGGCCCCCCGCCCTGCAACTATTTCTTCTAAAAGCCAATTTACAATACTCTGATTGTGGCCTAATGCTAATGATAAATGCAAAAAGCTGATTACAAACTGAAATGTTGCTTCTGGTTGAAGGTAAAGATGGGGCTCTAATGTCCTGATAAATCGACCTTACGTTGAAACCGGCGTGGAACCGAGAAGCCAAGAAGTTAGAGCAAGTTTACAAGACGGACTGAACATGTGGCGAATCACTACAAGTCGAAAACTCGCTGAGTTTGTAAGTCATTCATTCATTATTTGATCATTCTGTTTATGGTCGCTAATCGACCTTCTGTCTTGTCTTATCTCAAGACAGCCTAAAGTCTATACAATAATACGTGGTGTCCAAGTAATTTTGGCGAAACATAAGCAGAATATTTTGGGCAAGGTGTTGACAACACTCCAGTGGTAATTAGCAGAGCGTCTATATGCTAAATACTTCGTGCAGAACAGATGATAACGATATATTCAGCTATGAAAATATTTAAACTTTGGCAAGAGGATTTTTTCCACACATATATTCAGACATAGCATCCAGAAGACACTATTTTTGGAGATTTTTRTAAAGAATCTGTTTCAGGAATTCTTCGATATTTTGAACTTTTCATCTCATGCATGCATTTACTCACTAAAATAGACGTATCCTGAGGTAATAAATTGATATCTACAGGTTAAATCTAATCATTTGTTGACTTGGTTGGCATCAGTGAAGAGGGCTGTCGATTCACTGACTTAATGAATTGTATAGATATTCCAATTTGGCATGGTTGTTATTCTCTTTCACTTTTGTGCATATCGATTAGCAGTCTAATGCTGCTAAGTTTTCCAATGACTTTTTTGCGTTTTTCTAGAAGATATTAATACGAGTGTCTGATATCAAAGTATTTTCCAGCTGCTCTATATTCCTTTATTTAAAGTTTCTTTCTTATATGTTTTTTCTTCCACTTCTTGGTGTGTATAACTTGAAGCGTCTACAATGTACAACGAGGCAAAATGTATAATTTTCGATTTCTTTTTTCTGCAAAGTGGAAAACCCGTGAGAGCTCCGACTAAGTTTTCTTTGCATAAGCTTGGTCAATAGAATATTCTCCTGGCTTGGTTACATGTTATAACTAAGCTAATTCATTAAAAAATCCGCTTTGTGTTCATCCTATTAAAATAATAAATATTTTACTATGAATGTATTGATCCAGTTATAAACTGTTGTATAGATCCAGTGTCATTTGTATGCAAATGGCGCAGTCGAGTTTGATCGCCACAGGTCTTTTCTTAGATCTCAAACTGATCAAAGCACTCCTGACACTAAATATTTGAATGAATTGTAATTTTTTAGCCGTTTTGTTTGTTAATACTACCAAGAGATGTTTTCTTCCATAAGAAGGGAATGACAAAGGGACGCGTTGCCACACCGACTTCACTCTGGCTTGCTATACATGCATTAAGAGTTCCGCACTTCTGCTCTAAGCGCATGCTCAAGGGGCCATCAAAGAGCGAGTACATGGGTTGTAAAAATTAATATGTTTTGATTGTATTTTTCTTATCCAGCCCAATTTTCATTAAATAATCAAGAGCAAGTAGCTTTAAGCTAATTCCAAATCAAATATAAAAGAAAATATAGTAATTTTTACAACCCATGATATGATTCCACTATTTGACCCCTTGAGCATGCGCTTTGATGCATGTATAAAAGGTGCTGTCATTCACGTGATCATTATCCGCCATTACAGTTCTAAGTTCTTATTGATCTTCCYAGGGACATGACTATAAGTATAACGAAGGGTTTTTAAATGATCTAAGCATCATATCTAATTTTCTTATTCTTGATGCCAGACAGTTCAAAAATGAACTAAAAATGAGTCTATTTATAAACCAGTTGTTGAATCTCTCGGTTTTAATTAACGATTTGGGAATTTTCATCGATCTTAAAATATATAGATAGTGTTCTCATGATGAGGAATGTCTAAAAGATGCTCCTTGAGATTTTTGGCTTGAAAGAAAATTCCAGTGTCCTGTTTTTCAACATTTGATGGATATGCTAAAGAAAATGATAACTTATATCAGATGGATATATCTATTGGCTTGGTGGTGCAGTTACAGTGGTGCTTATTACATCGGTAAAGAAACTACAGCAGTTTTCGCTTGACTGTGAAAACTTTGGTGGCCGTGCGGTGACCGTGAATTTTAATTGGCTGATTTTTCCCTCCTGCAATGTTATTGGTCTGGCAGTACCGTGACCTTAGCGTGACCGTGTGCGGACGCTTCAGAGCCAACACGTTTCAATCTCGTACCCAGAGCCTGCGTTTGCGCTGGCTACGAGATTGCACACGTTTGAGAGGCACATGCGTAACGTCATGCTGAACAGCAAAGAGAGAAGTTCCTGAAAAATTGTCTTTCCCAGCGATGAGATCTAGAAACCCTGTTATCATGTTATCATTATAGGGAATCTAGGATTGTTACTGAGACTCACAAGATTTAGAAGATGCAACTTTGAAGCAATTTACAATCTTGTTAATCCATGCCTAAACAACAACAACATCACTGAACAACAACAATTCCAAGCGAAAAAAGTGGCTGTATGGGCACCGATCTCACCTCCGGAATTAAGTAATATATACAATGTGAGTGGCCGTGTTGTATAGATATACAACCACGAGCCGAAGGCGAGTGATTGTATATCTGATACAACACGGACACGAATATTGTATATTACTTATGAAACGTCTAGGTGTATACATTCATGTTCTACTATAATTTTGAAGATAAAATTGAATTTGATTTCCGGACTTGTCGTCGTATCATACTCAGTCTTCAATGCGTATACTTATATGAATAGAGTCGGGTTGTCAGTTGGTTCGGCTCCAGTCCTTCGAAAGTATCATTTCTCCTGCTTCGCTGGTTTTCCTTTCTTCACAAAAATCAACTGCTAAATTCCAACTGGAATTCAGTGGATGAATAGTTACTCTTTAGAGATGCCTCTGTTAAATCCCATATTTATATTTATTTATTAAGTACTTAGTATTGCGCATGCGCGCCCTACTAATTATATTCCTTCAATAAATTGCCACTTAGCTCAGCGCATTATTCTAATACAAAGTTCTGTAGTCTTGTCTCGCTGTGGTTAACCAGTCCATAACGATTCATAATATTCAACCATAATTTTTGCCAAGAGAGATACTCTTTTGGACGTGCTAAGTCAAACATCATAGGTTTATGTAAAGAACGATAAAGAAGTTTGGTAGAATAGGAGTTCTCTTATTTTAAATGGGCGTAATCTGACATAATTATCTATATTTTTTATTGAAATATTTGATTAAAACTCAAAGCAGCTGAAATAATTATAATGAAGCTTGAAAGACTACGCAGCATCGAAAGCAAACTAACTATGGATCGATTATGTATTGTTTGTTAGCCATTATCGACAGTGACACGTTTTACCCAGCAATTAACCAACAAATAATACGTCTGTGTGCATCCTAGACCGATCTCTTCAACCACAAAGACCATAATGAACCCACTGGCAGAAGTATTGATTAATTCCGTGTTTTCATCTCCTTTAATCTTAATTATTCCAACCAAGCACTTTAACGGCTTTTCGACGAGGAAAAGAAATCATTTTTCTTGCCAGACGACTTCAAAATTTCTGTATTTTTATTGTTAGGGATTTTTTAATACAACTTGGAGCTCAATTTATAGCCGAGAAATTAGCGGAGAGATCCCCTTGGGGGTGAGGAGTTGGAGACTCTGTTTATCAGTTGTCCGATATCCAATGTTTCGCTATCGTGAAGAACTCGATTGCTATCTTATCAAGGATTCTCCACTCGTTGTGACTTGTTTGCATGYATTTAAGGTAAAACCGTATGAGATTTTATATTTTGGATGTATAACGTCATAACGTTTTGGGCAAAAAATTCTTATTTCGTGTTTCAAGTCTTTGATAACCCTTTATACTATTAGTCAAATCATTTGCATATTTCATGAGCCCGCCTTGGTTTTTGGTCAGTGATTTTCCACGACCAATCAAACACCAGTTCAAAATGTAATAGCTACAATAGTTAATTTTTTATGTTTGAAGATCAAATAGCTTTCAAATAGCATGAAGTAATCTTTAACAGCGCGGTTTTTCTTAGTCTATTTACACGGCACGATTTCCCGCGCGCGACTTGACGTATACGGCAAATTTTGGTACCATTTACACAAGCACAACTTGTCGCACGCGGCACGAAAAAAACGCGAGCAATTTACTCGTCATTACAGCAAATGTTTCTTGTAAAATGCCACCATACACAGTTGAGAAGTGCAGTAAATAATCATGTCTACCTTGTTATTTGATTAGATCATTCAGAATTTTTGCACTTCGTGTTTAATTACCGGTAAAGACGTTTTCATGGAAATCCGCCATTTTGTTTTGGAATCAACTAGTTCCAGTCCCAATCTCGGTCAAAAACGTCATTTTTACGTCATTTTCCTACGGCATGTCGTAGGGTTTTAAGCCAAAGTTTAAAATGCTACGACAAGTCTTGAGGCCGCGTACGTCTGTCGTAGGACCATTTACACGACCCRATTTTGAGCTGATTTTGCCGTATACGTCAAGTCGCGCGCGGCAAATCGTGCCGTGTAAATAGRCCTTTACGCAGCCGCTATTAGTGTTTTCACGCCACRCTCACTTCCCTTACTAGCCACTTAGGGGAGTAAGCGTGGCGTGAAGACATTAATAGCGGCTGCGTTTTTCCTTGCCTSTTCCGAGAAACGAAGGCTCTAGATGATCTTGGAACCTTGAACAAGCTTTTGTTGCCTAAGGTCAAATTGTTTTGACATACCATATTTAACTGTTGTATCAGCCAATCAAATTTCGTTTCCGGGTAGAGACGACTGCAGAAGGAACGCAGGTTCTAGGCCGCCTTTTTGTCATGCGTACTAAGAATTACCTTTTCAATTGCATTACTTATAGATTCTGTCATCAAGAAAAAGTAAGAAAAATCTTTTGAATTGAACTCACCGTTTGATCTTGGACCTGAAATTCGTTTTTTCTTACGATTGACTTCACACATTGAAGCTCAATTCTGCTTCTGAGAGCCTGTATTCCTCTTGGGCAGTCAGCGCCGACCAGGATGAGCACTGAACGTGGCTCAAGCTTGTTTGTTTATTCATTAGAGAAAAATCATTTTGAATAATACATATCGTAAATCTGGAATCACGTCAACCAAGAGAATATTAAGTACTTCATATTCTCTTGCGTCA